TGTTTTCATTTTTGATGCACATTTAAAAATGTCAGTTGATTAAAATGATTACGTGGTTTCAGTCTACTGGAAAGAGCAATTGGTTTGACAATGCCTACAACATCAATCCTTATCAAGTAGGAGACAATCATGCTTATACAGCAGGACAGAGTAATCAAAAAATGTCGTCTTTGGGTGCAATTTTTGGAGTAGTTGGGGTAGTTGTTCCAGTAAAATAGATGTGGTTTATGAGGGGAATAAAGTTACTTAGGGTGTTTTCTGTTGTAGTGTTGCCCTTTTTCTGTTCCTTCTCCAATATCCAACATGATAATTTCTCAGAGGAAGAGATAAGCCATAAGAGCGAATTCCTCTGCCGCTCCCTTTTCCACATCGGAAACCTGCAGGATTACGAGGGCGTGACTTAGTCAAATCTGATTCACAGATATTTGATTTTTAATGTATTTAGTCTTGGTGAAGGTGCCGAGCTGCGAGCTTTGGGAGCTAAAACACCTTACGCCTGTAACCAGACCTTGTGCTCACTTGCACCGTGGGGACCAATGTATTGCAGGACCTATATTGTGAAAAGCCAGGGACTGAGCAGATTTCAGGGCTACGCTGGCAGGAAATTAGCTGTAGTTTAGGGTCTAGTATATTGTGTTGTGGGGGAGGATGAGGAGGAGGAAATGAAGAAGGATGTTTAAGGCAACCTTTAGATAACAGCCTGCCGAGTTGCCCGTTTTTTGGCAGAGGTGGCTGTGCTCTCTCTTAAGGATGTGTTCATTCGCTCGTTTATGGGTACAGAATCTCCACCAAATTATGCAGGTGCCTTTCTGTGAATATATTGTTTTAGTTTGACAGTAGGCTTTAAGGGGTTGGGGAAAGATGGATTTACACTTAAGTGTTTTCGGAGGTAAACTATAGATCCTGGTGAGTTTTACTTTCCCACCAGTTTGAGCCTATCAAGACTGTTGTCTGTAAATAAGCAAAGTAAGTCAGGGGAAAAAAACCAGGCTTGATTTAATCAGGAGCAAGTACATTGTCCTCAGATTGTGCAGGAAAAGGGTAAATCAACTTGGTAATGGAGCAGTCCATTTATGCACGTAGGTGTGCTATACTGTGGGAAAGTTAAACCTCCGGGCACCGAAGCCATCAGCACTCATTCACCAAATTTTGTTCGGGGTGTAAAAATTTAAGAGGCTTTCTTGTTTCCAAAACAGTGTGTGTTTTATTGGAACAGTGGAAACAGACCGTAATAACTTGAAAACCTTCTTGTTTCAGAACAAATTGAACTCTAACGATGTTGTGTGGACGGTGGCAAAGATGGGTTTTTGTCCTCACCCTCCACCACTTGGGATTTCCTCTGTTTTCCGTGGGTGGCTGTACACTGTTGTAGGAGTTTCTGAAGAGAAGTGTCAGAGACAGGAGAGGGGACAGGAGCTGCCGGGAACCACTGGTAATGTTTTGTGAGAAATGAAAATGAAGAAACAATGAAGAGCAGAAAAGCCTTAAAGGAAAGATGGCCACATTTGAGAGCTTTGTTTAAAATTGACTGTTTATTTTCAGTCAGAGGAGCACTTTAGCAATGCCTGAGGCATTGCAACCCACTCGGTAATGTAAGAGCAAAGTCGGTGCCATAGCAGGCTCTGCTAAAGGGAGGTGGGTGTCACCCCCGGCAGCAGTAAAGGAAGGGGAGAGAAGCTACGTGCTGAGAAACCATCGCCCTGAATCTATGGACTAAATGCTGGGTAGAGCTGTACCTGCGGCTTGGTTGAGCTGCAGGTCTAGGCTCCTACACCAAGGGAAAGGAGTTTTTACTGTAAAGCCACCCTGTGTTATATCTTAAAATTGGAATGCTTTGTTTGACTCGCCGCCTGTTTGAGTCGTGAATAACTGTTTCTTCTGGTCATTAGTGAAATAAAACTTAATTTGGCCTGGGCACTGTAGACATGAAACATGATTGGTAATGCTGTATACATTCACTTCAGATGACTTTATAAACCCCAGATGAAATCATTTTGCTTCGTTCCAGCCAAGGCAGAGCGTGGCATGTGCTCTGTAACGAGAGTCAGCCTCGCTGGTTGTTGGATGAGGCCCTGCATAACCCTCATCTGAAAGAGTATGATTTCATGAGAGAAGATAAACTGTGGATTCTGAGCTGTTCATTTGCTTAGCTCATCAATTCATTAATTGTTTCTTGTTTATGCTCACAGTGGAGAGTTTTAGAAAGTTCTTCCCCCTCCCCCCCCGAATCCAGTTATTGCTAGGTGACGACTTCTCTGATCTCTGATCCTCTGAGAGAGATGTGTAATGGGTTCTCAAACTTGAACTGAAACCATATAAATATTTAACCTTAAAAAAGACATTTTCCTTTCAGCTATTAGCAAACTCAGGTATTCACCAAACTGAACTGAAGATTGAATTTTCAATTACAGGGAAACCCTTCCCTCTCAGCTGTTCTTTCCTTAATGTTTGTCACATTGATTAAGTGGTAGCCATCATCTTATGGGGTAGAAAGAATGGGGGTTTTGGTGATCTTACTAATGATTTTAACCATAAAGCAACAATGTTAGAGCCACAGGAAATCCAATTATACCTTTTCCTTTCTTTTAAAGCAACCCTTTCTTCTGTCTTTTAATTCCAAGTTGTCCATATTTTAGTTTTCTGTTTGATGGTATAATTATACTTTTGTTACAGAACAGTGTGAAATGCTGAGAGTCACTAGTTTTCTGTGTCAAGTTGAACTGAAAAGTTAAAGTTTTTGTTCTTTTCTGGGGAGCTCTGGGCCTGAAGTGCAGTATTTTTAATAGAGATTACACAAGTGATATGCCAAGATGGTAACGTAGCGGCAGTTTTAACAGGATTTCTGTCCTAGTCCTTCATGTTCTGTAGGCAGGTAAAAGGCAGAGAGCCAGACCGACAAGTGGGAGAACTGCTGTTAACTCTTGCCGGGGTCAGCTGCCTGTCAGCCGTGGCCCTGCCGGGGGGTCCGCAGGCAGCCCCCCAGCCCCACTCCTGGCAAGGAAGGCACCTGGGATGCTACACAGGTTTTGAAAGTTTGGAGGATGCGAGGCAAACTGGAAGGAATTGGGAAAGGAGTCTCTCCATGAGGTGGAAGACCCATTGCGTGAAAAGGATGGTAGATTTAGCCTGGAGAAAAGGAGGCTGAGGGGAGACCTCATCGCTCTCTACAACTACCTGAAAGGAGGCTGTAGCGAGGTGGGTGTCAGTCTCTTCTCCCAAGTAACAAGCGATAAGACAAGAGGAAATGGCCTCAAGTTGCGCCAGGGGAGGTTTAGATTGGACGTGAGGAAAAATGTCTTTACTGAAAGAGTGGTTAAACATTGGAACAGGCTGCCCAGGGAAGTGGTTGAGTCCCCATCCCTGGAAGTATTTAAAAGACGGGTAGATGAGGCGCTTAGGGACATGGTTTAGTGGGCATGGTGGTGTTGGGTTGACGGTTGGACTCGATGGTCTTAGAGGTCTCTTCCAACCTTAATGATTCTATGATTCTATGTTTCATGTCAACAAAATAACCTGTTGAGCATGAAACTTGGGTTGAAAAGCTATCTGCTGTACAGGCTGTTTCCTACCATCTGCTCTGGAGAACTTCAGTCCTCTGGTGCTGCGGAGGGCAGACGTGGTGGGTGAGTCACCCCAGGAGGTACAGCGCTCTGAGGGTCTCCTTCCTCACCCTGGCTTCTTGGAGAGCGGTGCCGTTTTTGGGGAATGGTAGATTGTGTGCTCTCGGAGGAGGCTGTGAGGGTGAAGCCCACCTCTCACTGTGAGGTGGGGGGAGACATGCCCAATGGGGTAGAAGCTCTCTCCTTAGGAGTGAGAAATGACCTCTGCAGAGAAAGAAAGGACTGCGAAGTGTGACCAGCACAGGGGGATTCCTGGGGGAGCAGATAGGAGGACAGGGCCTGGCCCCCTGTGGGAGAGCACCTTGGGGGGAGCAGGTGAGGGAGGAGCCAGAGGTCATGGCAAAGGAGCCTCCCTCTGCAGGGATTAGCAGCCGGCTCCCTTCTGCCAGGGCTGTTCTGCCAGGAGAATAACGTGGAAAAGCATGGCATGAAAAGTCTGTGCAACGGAGTCCTGAAACGTTGCGGCTGTGATGACTGTGGTTAATTAAATAGGTGGCTCGTCTCTAGACAGCCCCAGACATCTGTCTCCATTCTTCACTTGTTTTTCTGCTGCTTTTGTATTTGCTTGTCCAGAGTTAAAGCCCAGAGGACCTACAGATGGTCACCATTAATTTTGTCACTTGATGCAATTTTTTTTTAAAGCTTTTTTGTTGGCCTTTTAAAAACAGATGTGTGTATAAAAAAGAAAAAATCTTTTAATAGAGCAACTCACTAGAGATCTTCTATTTGGATTTAGATTTAAATTTAGTCTTTAGTGGCTGCGATTTAATTTTGGCATTTCTTTTAAGCCAAGTCTCTCTTGTAGCTGTATCGATTTTTTTTTTTTTTTTTTTTTAATAAACTTTAAAGAATCTCTTTGCATTCCTAGTCTGGCTGCTTTGGCACCTCAGAAATCATAGCGTGCCAAAACGTTTTCTGCGTTTTGGATTGCATACCTGTTTTTCCATACGTTTCTTCATGACTGCAGATGCTCGTGTTGCGTGGGCTGAAACTGGGCTATGGGCTTTCAAAAATAAAATCCTCGGCAGAAAAGTCCAACCTTGTTAATGATTTCTTAAGGAAGCCACAGGATCGCAGACAAAACTTGGGAGCTGTGACTAGTAACTGCCTGCACAGAGTCAGGATCATAGGTAATAGTTGATTATCAAATCAAATTATATGGACTTTTAAACTGATAAAACAACTGCAGCCAGTTTTTTTCACAGTCTCCACATTAAACATGGAGTGCCCTTTCCAAATATCTTTTAACATATTTCTTTTTGAGTAGTCTCTGGGAATTTTACCATAAGAAAAGCCAGTTTTGGTCTCTATTATACACTTGAAAAATGTTCTCAGAAGGCACTTCTTAATACATTTTTTTCTTTTGTTACTTTATTTGCAGGTCAAAATTTATCTGGTTCACTCAAATTAGCGTTGTTTTAACCATCCTGTAGAAGACGAATATGATGCCGAACAGAAGTAACCTCTCCTCCTTTCAGAATGTTGGATCAGGTAATCAATTAATAGAAACGAAGTTTGTTTGTAAATGTACTGAGATCTTTCAGAATTTGTTACTGATTTTGGTCCTTTAATTCTCCTGACACATGGATAAGATCAGTGCTCTGTTCTTATTCCATGTCTAACTCTGTTTACCAGCCAAAATAAGGCCACAGCTGGATATGCTGCAGGCAGCCAACCCTCCCCCATCAGTTTAATGCTTGGCTGGAATGGATATCAGTGACCCCCAGCTAAACAACTCGGGAAAGGAAGAAAAGGAAGGGGGGGGAGGGGGGAGGAGGGAAGAAAAATTAAAAGGTGGAAGAATTTCCTTCTGTATAGCTCCAGGCAGCAAATACTTTGCTAAACAGAGGAGCCTTGCGCTGTGCGCTGAAGGTTACCAAGCGAAAGCTGGGGCTGACCTGGATGCAGGATGGGTTCAGGGCATGCCGTGTGCTGGAGCTCCCGGCCTCAGTCCCTATAGCTGCATGCAAAAGCAGCGTCACACATCCTGGCATATTCATAAGGTCTCGTCCCAAACATTACCCTAAAAATAAACAAAATAAACAAGGTCTGGTTTGTGGGAAGCAGCTACGGTTCAGCTAAACATGCGCTGTCGTCCGGTTGGGATTCAACCGTATGATTGCGGGCACTGTGTGCTGGAACCAAAAACGCAGAACTGGCATAAGGTGTAGTAGAGAAAAGTTCAATCCGAGGGGCTACATGAAGGTATCATGACCTTTTCTTACTCTACCTGTTTGGATTTCAAATACAATGAACCCTTCATTGCTGTGGTGAACAGGCCTGAAAGTTTCCATGAGCTAACTTGTTTTTTGGCAAAAGCATCCAGTCTTTGTAGGATTAAATGTGCCCTACTGGTGTTGCAAGGGAGTAATAAACAATTATTAATGTCCCATTAATGTGTCTGCTAAGCTATTTATATAGGAGCCAGTGGAATTTATGCAAAAACATTGGAACTTCAGCTGTGTTCAAGTTATGATTTGGACAGTACAATTTTGATATGAGATTAGCTTCAATTTTAAGAGAGATTTGGAAGAGAGAAGGAGAAAGAGACGAGGATGGAAATTAGGTTCCGTTCCACAATGGAAGGCTAAGTGTACAAGGCATATACATTGTGCTTTGTATCTGTGCTCTTAAATAACTTTTATATCTTGTTCTTCTTCCTTGTAACACCACTAATACGATGAATGCTTTATCTTTTCCAGATGATTTTGTCTTGTCCCAACAAGTTCTGTTGGACGTGGGTCACGTTCCTCCTTTTGTTCATTTGAACTTCATCATTGCTGTTGATCAAAAGTTGCAAAAATAGCTAAAAAATGTCAAGTAAAATGTCAAATTATAAGAAACTGCAGTTTCACTGCTCACGGTGGTGATGGTCTGACGGCGAGCTCTGTGAACTTACTGGTTCAAAGGCAATTTGGATAGTTGTATCATCATAACAAATGTGTTAAAATTACAGCAAATAAAATCACAGTCAGCATAAAAATATTAAATTCTGTGTAGTAGTAAACCTGAGGCTTGGTTTTGAAGCTGCAAGTTAATGTTTTTGGCCACTACAAGAGCTTGTAATTAACACATGCTTAGCCAGGTCCACTATGCTCGAGAAGGTGTTTGAATTTTTTTTGTGTGTGTGTCATGTCCGTCCCCGCGCCCCCCCCCCCCCCCCCTCCTCCCCTCTTTTTTTTTTTTTTATCTTCTGTCTATTCAATTACACTACTAATGATGGTTACCTTTGTTCTTAAACTTACGTGTTTGTTCCTTAAGAGTTGAGGAGAATGCATTGCTACACACTCAGACTTACCACAGTTTGCATAGAGGAAGCCTGTGCAACAGAGGTCTATTGAATGATGCCCTGGACAGTAATGAATTCCAGGTTTTTTTGCCTTGTTAGCAAGGAAGGTCCCAGAAATGAGGACCTGCTCAAAGAATGCATTGCCACCTTCTACTAGATATCTGAACCTAGTGATCCTCAATGAAACCAGATCATATCAGCTCTGGCAGGGGGTGGGAATCCAAGTTTTGTGTCTAGGTTCATGTAACTGTCTGAAGTGGTACTTGGAAGAGGATTAAAGTATTGTCTCTGAGGATTTTAAAGGTACTTTACATGTTTGGATGTTAGATTTTCCTGCCGAGGGACAAGCTGAGATTAGGTTTCTCTACGAGGTGGCCAAAGTCACAGGTGAAATGTGACTGAGCCAAGAGTAAATCCCAGATTTGACCCGTATTTTCAGAAGCAACGCTCGCTGGCACTGCAGGAACTGACACTGAAGAGCGCTTTATTAGTTCGAAGCACAGCCTAGCGCATCCAACGAGCTGCTGTAAATGTTAATGGTGCCATTTCTGCATCAGCGGAGATCTAAGTGCAAGCCTGCTGGGGGTCCTGCAGGTCCTGCAGTGACTGACACTGTCAGGAGCCGAATTCCTTTCTTTGCTTTCAGCAAAGTGGGGCTCAGAACTGTAGGCTGGAGGTTGACACATCGTTGAACAGGAACATCCACCACAGCAAAGGCTTTTTTGGTCGGTGTCCTCTTCCAGAATATAAATTATAATTCTGAACAAGCATTAGGACCTGGAACCTTAAACCCCATCGGTGTTTTTAATGGTCATGTGATTTTGTTGTTGTTTTGAATGAAGTCATGGAGCCTAGCATTATACTTCCTTAAGGCTATCTTTTAACTGAAGCGCTCTTTGCAGATGTAGTTACAGCTTTGTATTTTAAGAGCACTGAGCTGAAACACCTTGAAAAAAGGGCCTCGGTTTTGTACTTTTCCATGAAGCTTTGCATGGCAATCTGCGGAGTAAGCGGAAAGGTGACAAACTCCTACTGAGCTTTGAATTGAGCTCATTAGCATATTGGGGCTCAGATGCGCTAGCTGCACAGGTTAAAAGAAGAGGTGGTCCAGAGGAGTATCTTATGTTCTGTATCCCGAGCCTTGGGAGACCTGTGTTCAGTTCTTTTTACTCTGCTGTCTGCTTTGCATCTTCTCCCTGCACCTCAGTTCCTCAGCTGTAAAACATCAGGACAGTAATGCTTCCTTATTTCATGGACACCTTAGGAGGCTCAGGATTACGAAGGCTGAGCCACAGACTCCTGCAATGGGTAGGACACCAAAGAAAGTCTAGCCTCTTTCCGACTGTGTTGCTGATTTGTAGTATGAATTTGGTGATGTCCCTCTACCCCTTCTTTTTTGGTCTCCATCTTTTGCAAAAACAGAGATGGGAAAGTTGTGCATCCCCTCCTTTGCTTAATGACCTGAGACGCATTTATTACAAGCACAGTAATTATTACAAAAAGTGTTCTTTTCAAGTTAATGTGCAGGCATGCATATGCAAGAGGCTACTTACTTGCTAGAAACTTTTTTTTTCTTGTTTTCTCTTCCTTACAGATTCCAGTAAGATTATGGCAGAGTATAGCCACACACAAAACCAGATGGAATTACAAAATGCTAGTTTGGGAAAGGGTTCTGTGGCGAATTCCCTTGAAAATGGTCTCCAGGATATTATGGAAAACCTCAACCCGAAGAAATACTCATCAAGTCTCAAATTTAAAACAAACGGGGACTATGCTGGCTCGTATTTAACCCTTTCACAACCTATGCCAGTTAAACCTAGTCCTTCCTCCAGTGTTAAAAATACACACTCTATTACCAAAATTCAAGGAGGCAAGCAGTTCCCCTGTGAAAGCCCATATCTTCCAGATAAAAGCATCTCTGTAAAGCATTTGGGTTCCGTTTCGGGCACGTCTCCATGCCTCAGCGGGTACAGTTTAGGAAGGACAGACTTTGATATTCATGCCAGCAGAGAAAATGAAAAATCACTTGGACACATCGATAAGTTTCACTACTCAAAGTACAGTCAGAAAAACAAATCGTATGACAACGTCTACTTCCCAGGAATGCTGGAGACAAAGAAGATCTCGGGCTCTCTTCTGACCATGTGGAATGGAAGTTCGGGGAACGAGCTGATGCTTTCACCTGCTAGCAATTCGGGGGCGGCCAGCATGCCTTCTAGCCCAAAGCAAGGCAGGAGAATGAATATTGAAGACAGCCTGGCCATTCACATAAAACCCGTTAAGCACAAGGATGTGATGATGGAGACTCTGGGTTCACGGCCTAGGAAATACTCTGGTGGATCTCTAAGTCATATGGGAATGTACAGTCGTTCCCTGCCCAGACTTTATAAATCAACAGAAAGCCAGCTGGTGCCGTTAAGTTTGCCCCCCAGAAGCTCTCTGGGTAATACTAAAAGGAAAAAACTTGGAGAAAAAGATCTACCTCAGAACGCTTTAGATGCTGATAATTACCTGAATTTTTCTTCTTGCAGCTCAGGGGTTTCACCACATGCAAACTCTGTCTCTGGGAATAATCCCTACGTCAGTTCAACTCTTAGTGTTCCTGCAAGCCCTCGAGTTGCTAAAAAAATGCTTTTAGCGCCTTCTTCCCCATATCTTTCTGAAGATTTTGATAGACTTGGACTCTCAGGAACAAGTCCCAGTAGTTCTTTCTCCCCACTGGATTTTGACAGGTCATTCTCTGTCCGAAGAAACCTTTCAACCAGTTCCGTGGAACTTGATGACCCAGATCTGGAAAGTTACAGGCAGACGCCAAACTCACTGCAAACATCCATGCGGGAGCGGAAGAACAGCATTAGCTCCATTTCGGGAAGA